GTGATCCTGTACCTCTGTATCCTCCCGTGTTCTACCTGTTGATCCTGTACCTGTATGTTTCCTGTACCTGTATGTGTTTCCGTACCTGTACGTGTTCCTGTACCTGTACGTGTTCCTGACCTGTATGTGATCCTGTACCTGTGTTCCTGTACCTGTGTGATCCTGTACCTGTATGTGTTCCTGTACCTGTATGTGATCCTGTACCTGTGTTCCTGTACCTGTAGTGATCCTGTACCTGTATCCTGTACCTTACGTGTTCCTGTACCTGTACGTGTTCCTGTACCTGTATGTGATCCTGCCTGTATGTGATCCTGTACCTGTAAGTTTCCTGTACCACCTTATGTATCCCTGTACCTGTATGTGTCCTGTACCTGTACATGTTCCTGCACCTGTACGTGTTCCTGTACCTGTATGTGATTCCTGTACCTGTATGTGATCCTGTACCTGTACGTGTTCCTGTACCTATATGTGATCCTGTACCTGTATGTGTTCCTGTACCTGTATGTGTTCCTGTACCTTACGTGTTCCTGTACCTGTACGTGTTCCTGTACCTGTATGTGATCCTGTACTGCCTTACCTGTGCTGACCTTAGTGTCCTCCTGTGTGATCCTGTACCTGTCCCATGTGATCCTGTACCTGTATGTGTTCTGTACCTGTATGTGATCCTGTACCTGTACGTGTTCCTGTACCTGTATGTGATCCTGTACCTGTATGTGTTCCCTGTACCTTATGTGATCCTGTCCCGTATGTGATCCTGTACCTGTACGTGTTCCTGTACCTGTATGTGATCCTGTACCTGTATGTGTTCCTGTACCTGCATGATCCTGTACCTGTAAGCCTGTACCTGCTGTTCCTGTACCTGTATGTGTTCCTGTACCTGTATGTGTTCCTGTACCTGTATGTGATCCCTGTACCTGTATGTGATCCTGTACCTGTATGTGTTCCTATACCTGTATGTGATCCTGTACCTGTACGTGTTCCTGTACCTGTATGATCCTGTACCTGTATGTGTTCCTGTACCTGTATGTGATCCTGTACCTGTATGTGATCCTGTACCTGTACGTGTTCCTGTACCTGTATGCTGTTTCCTGTACAATGTTCCTGTACCTACGTGTTCCTTACCTGTACGTGTTCCTGTACCTGTATGTGATCCTGTACCTGTACGTGTTCCTGTACCTGTATGTGATCCTGTACCTGTATGTGATCCTGTACCTGTATGTGTTCCTGTACCTATACGTGTTCCTGTACCTGTACGTGTTCCTGTACCTGTTTGTGATCCCACCTGTATGTGATCCTGTACCTGTATGTGTTCCTGTACCTATACGTGTTCCTGTACCCTGTACGTGTTCCTGTACCTGTATGTGATCCTGTACCTGTATAGTGATCCTGTACCTGTATGTGATCCTGTACCCATGTGTTCCTGTACCCCATAATGGTTCCTACCTATACGTGTTCCGTACCTGTACGTGTTCCTGTACCTGTATGTGTTCCTGTACCTGTATGTGATCCTGTACCTGTATGTGTTCCTGTACCTGTATGTGATCCTGTACCTGTACGTGTTCCTGTACCTGTATGATCCTGTACCTGTACGTGATTCCTGTACCTGTATGACCCTGTACCTGTATGTGTTCCCACCTGTATGTGTTCCTGTACCTGTATGTGTTCCTGTACCTGTATGTGATCCTGTACCTATACGTGTTCCTGTACCTGTATGTGATCCTGTACCTGTATGTGATCCTGTACCTCATACGTGTTCCTGTACCTATACGTGTTCCTGTACCTGTACGTGTTCCTGCACCTGTACGTGTTCCTGTACCTGTATGTGATCCTGTACCTGTATGTGACCCTGTACCTGTATGTGTTCCTGTACCTATACGTGTTCCTGTACCTATACGTGTTCCTGTACCTGTACGTGTTCCTGCACCTGTACGTGTTCCTGTACCTGTATGTGATCCTGTACCTGTATGTGACCTGTACCTGTATGTGTTCCTGTACCTGTATGTGATCCTGTACCTGTACGTGATCCTGTACCCATACGTGTTCCTGTACCTGTATGTGTGTTCCTGCACCTGTACGTGTACCTGTACCTGTATGTGTTCCTGGACCTGTACGTGTACTTGCACTTGTACGTGTTCCTGTACCTGTACGAGTTCCGGTACCTGTACATGTTCCTGTACCTGCACGTGTTCCTCTCCCTGTATGTGTTCCTATACCTGTACGTGTTCCTGTACCTGTCCGTGTTCATGTACCAGTACGTGTTCCTATACATGTACATGTTCCTGTCCCTGTATCCACTTTGGGGTTTCCTGTACCTGTACGTGTTCCTCTCCCTGTATGTGTTCCTGTACCTGTACGTGTTCCTGTCCCTGTACGTATCCCTGCACCTGTAGGGGTTTCTGTACCTGTACGTGTTCCTCTCCCTGTATGTGTTCCTATACCTGTACGTGTTCCAGTACCTGTCCGTGTTCATGTACCAGTACGTGTTCCTATACCTGTACGTGTTCCTGTCCCTGTACGTATTCCTGTACCTGTACATGTTCCTGTACCTGCACGTGTTCCTCTCCCTGTATGTGTTCCTATACCTGTACGTGTTCCTGTACCTGTCCGTGTTCATGTACCAGTACGTGTTCCTATACATGTACATGTTCCTGTCCCTGTACGTATTCCTGCACCTGTACATGTTCCTGTACCTGTACGTGTTATGGTATTTGTCCGTGTCCCTGTGCCTGCATGTGTTCCTGTACCTCTACGTGATCCTGTACCTGTACATGTTCCTGTACTTGTACGTGTTACTATACCCGTACCTGTACGTGTTACTGCACCTGTACGTGTTACCATACCTGAACGTGTTCAGGCAGACATGCTTTCAGAGCTCCAACAAGACCCCAACGTCAGTATAGGAGGAAGAGGTGACCAACATGGGAACCCAACGACTACACCGGTGGATGAAGGCAATGCATGATGGACAGGCTACTAAGGCGAAACCCAAACACTGGGCTATCGGCAGTCCATTGCAACCCTCCCTCTGCCTAGTCGTTGCAAAACTTGCAACACTGGATCAGGAAAAGGGAAAGCCAAGATGTGTGGTTGCAGCCTGCGCTCTTGCCTCACCACATGAATCAACTCACATGCAGCCATCATCCAGCTCATCATACTTCTCATCATCATCAAAACCCATATACCCTCAAAAGTCTTATGGCAACGGATGACTGGCGACGGGGGACAGGCAGAGATGACTACCGGAAGTGTCTAGTCATAACTCTGCATATGGGCGGCATAGACAAGATGGTCGCTTATGCACTGGGATCTAGGCAGCAGTGCAATCCGGTCCTGTCTGTGCGACTGAGCAGCCTTTTCCAGGAGCTACTCTGCTCGCCCCGCATGGGGAGATGGGTTAGAAAAAGTGCCCTAAACATAGCCTGCCTTAAGAACCAACCTGATTGGGCAACTGCACCAAATAAGGTCATCGTTATGCAGTCGAAAACACAATTATAATTACAGATAAAAAACTAACAACTATATAACTTCTTATGGTGACTGCAGGGAATGTCAAGACCCTTCTGGATACTAACACAAATAGGCGGCCTGAAAATAGAACCGTTCTTGTGTCAAAAGAGCTGGCTAGGTATAACATCAACATAGCAGCTACTAGTGAGTCCCGGCTCCCAGACGAGGGTCGACTCACATAATAGGAGTCTGGCTATACCTTCTCTTGAAAGGGTAAGACTGCTGAGGAGAGAAGCCGCATTTATGGAGTTGGCTTTGCCATCCGCCAATGCATCCTATAAAGGCTAACTGAAATGCCTGTTGGGATCAACGAGCGCCTCATGACGCTCCGAGTCCCACTGAATCACTCACGTCATGCCTTCATCAGTGCATACACCCCAACATTGGATGCAGAGATTGACACCCAGGAAGTCTTTTACGCCGACCTTAACAGTGCTAACCTTTATCTCTAGAGAAGATAAGGTTGTGCTTCTAAGTGACTTTAGTGCCAAAATTGGCAGGGATGATGACAGATGGCACGGAACCATAGAGAGAAATGGACTAGGCAAGTGTAATCCCAACGGCCTAGTCCTCCTCAGCAAGTGTGCAGCACATAACCTCATTATCACTAATAACTTGTTTAGGCAGGCCTAAAAGTTCAAGTGTTAGTGGCAACACCCACGTTACAAACACTGGCATCTCATTGACTGCATCATCGTCAGAGAAAGAGATCGCCGAGACGTTCTCAAGCCATGCTTGGCTCAGACCACTGCGACACTGATCATCGGCTCGTCAAAGCCTAGCTCTCACTTCACGTCGCCCCAAAACGGCGAAGGCAGCAAGCCTCTAGAAGAGGTTTTAACAATAAGCGTCTGGAGGATACAGCGGTAGCACATGCTTTCAGAGAGCAGCTCGAACATGGGCTGATAAACAACCCGACAACAAACAACCCAAATCTCAATACCAAATGGGATATTCTCGACACTGTCATGACAAAAACCTGCGGAGACCCTCGGCCAGATAGAAATAATGCAGCAGGATTGATTTGATGAAAATTACCTGGAAATCAATATACTCGTCAATAATAACATGCTACTTTGACTGGCAGAACAACCCTCAGTCTCGGACCAAAGCTGATACTTTCCACAAGAAAACAGCGGAAGCCCAGCGCGAACTTCGCAATCTAAAGAATTACTGGTTCAAAAATATAGCACGTGAAACACAAAATCTTGCAGATCAACACAAGATGCACGAATTTTTCAATTACACTAAAACATTTTATGGGCCATACACTCATGATGCAGCTCCCCTTCGCTCACCCGACGGTAACTCACTAATTAAAGAAGAAGAAGGCATCCTTCAGCGCTGCTCAACCAAAACACTGATGTGGATATCCTGACTACCCAGCAGGTCCCTCAGCAGCCACAGCTGACTCACCTCGGCTATCCTCCATCCCTGGATGAGGTAGCTACTGCCCTCAAACAGATGAAAAATATTAAAGGCTCAGGGCCTGGTGGAATCCGTCCCCAGGTGTGCGAACCAGGAGGACCTTTGCTTACCAGCCGTCTATACTTTCTCCTGGATAACAAATGGGAAAAGGAGGTCAACTCGGTCAACAGGGAAGCCCTTTGGTGGACCCTCAGCTGTTTTAGCTGCCCACCAGAATTCATGGCCATTGTGAGGCAACTCCACGATGGCATGAACGGCAGTGTCCTGCACAATAGCACCCAGTCTGAGTTCTTCCCCATCCGAAAGGGGGTAAAACAAGGATGTGTACTGGCACCAACTCTCTTTTCCATTTTCTTGGCTGCTTCCCATACTCGTGCCAGTGCCAATTTAGCCGACAGAGTGGATATCCAGTTCTGGATGAAGGGTCCTTTCGACATAAGACGACTCCATGCAGGAACAAAGATGTCGGCAGCCTCCATCACTTACCTTCAGTATAGAGACGACCTCACCCTTGTCGCTCGCACTGAACACGACCTACAGGAGATCCTGAACACCTATGCAGATGCGTATGCACAATTCGGCCTTGAGGTGAATGTAGGTGAGACTCAGCTTCTCTTTCAGCCTGCCCCTGGTTCAGCCACGCCTCCACCATCGATCCAGCTTAACGGTACTGCCCTCTCTAATGTTACCCTCTTTCGGTATCTCGGCTCCGACCTGTTCACCATCGCGAACATCGATGAAGAGATTCAACATCGGATCAGATGTGCATCTCAAGCCTTTGGCAGACTCTGCACCCGTGTCTTCAGCTGTAGGGAGCTGAAATTATCTACAAAGTTGCACTTATATCGAGCAGTAATCCTCCCCATCCTCCTATATGGGAGCAAGACATGGGTCACATACAGGAGGCACCTAAAGGCACTTGAAAACTTTCACTAACTTAGTCTACGTTCCATCCTACGAGTTCGCTGGGAAGACAAGAGAACAAATGCCAATATTATCGCTGACACCAACTGTAGGAGCATCGAAGCTACCATTATCCATGAACAACTACGCTGGACTGGCCATGTTACGTGCATGGACGACAGTAGACTGCCAAAGCAACTACTTTACAGTCACCTATCGAATAGTAAACGTAACGCTGGCTGGCAAACCTGAAAAAGTGGTAAATCGACCCCCTCTCCTGGGAGACGATTACTCCACAACGCAACGCTTGGAGGAGCACCACACAAGGGTCAAGACTTTCGAGTTAGGCTGACTGCATACCGAGACAGACAAGCGTCAGCGCCGGAAAGACGCTTTCACCGCCCCTTCCGCACTAGATGAAGCCCTCCACACGTGCAACATCTGTGAACGACCATGCCGGTCCCTAACAGCCTTTTTAGTCACCCCAGAACTCACCAATGAAGGTGACATCCTTAATAACTCATATCATTGTCTCATAGCTGGATGATTTCCATACTCGATTTCGAAAGACAGGAAAGTAGGGTTCCTGTACCTGTACGTGTTCCTGTACCTGTATGTGTTCCTGTACCTGTATGTGTTCCTGTACCTGCATGTGTTTTCTGTACCTGTATGTGTTCCTGTATGTGTTACTGCATTTGTACCTGTATAGTAGATAAAGAGATGTTCTTTACGGTGGTCGGGTGTTGCTGCTCTAAGTGGGTAATACTACCGTTATGGTATTGTTATGATGCCTGTTACCATTGTCGCTTTTTGTTCACTATTGTATATTTTGTTCACGTTAACGCAGCTGCTTGTTGTTGTTGCTGTACGAAGCAGTGGGTGTTGTGGAGATTATTACTATGTATTGTAGTTGCGACCGATGTCCTTCTTGTTGTTGTTATTATTAAATTTGGTGTTGATTTTTGAGGTATTCTTTATTTGTGACAGTGTGTGTGTGTGTGTGTGTGTGTGTGTGTGTGTGTGTGTGTGTGTGTGTGTGTGTGTGTGTGTGTGTGTGTGTGTTCACCTTGGTTCTCCCCAGTTCACCTTGGTTCACTCCGGTTCATCTTGGTTCACCCTAGCTCCCCTTGGTTCACCCTGGTTCACCTCGGTTCTACCTGGTTCACCTTGGTTCACCCCGGTTCACCTTGGTTCACTCCGGTTCACCTTGGTTCACTCCGGTTCACCTTGGTTCAAGCTATGTCAACGAAATTTAATTCTTTACCTTGTTACGAAGTTCGTTAACCAACCAACACGCCTTGTTAACTTTTACCTGTAGGATACGACACACCACCTCCTCCTGTGTGTGTATGTGAGTGTGTATGTGTGTGTGTGTGTGTGTGGGTGTGTGTGAGTGTGTGTGTGTGCGTGTGTGCGTGTGTGTGTGTGTTCGTTAATCTGATTTCACAAGTATTCCATGATATTATCTTTGGCCTGTATTCGTCGAGTGTGAGGGAGAAGTAAAGTGTGGGGATATGCTGAGTGTGAAGGAGATGTCGAGTGTGAGGGAAAAGTCGAGTGTGGGGGATATTCCGAGTGTGAGGGGAAGTAGAGTGTGAGGGAGATCTTGAGTGTGAGGGGAAGTAGAGTGTGAGAGAGAAGTAGAGTGTGGGGATAAGCCAAGTGTGAGGGAGATGTCGAGTGTGAGGGAGAGGTAGAGTGTAGGGGATATGTCTAGTGTGAGGGAGAGGAATAAATCGTAAGAGAAATCGTGTTAACCCTGAGGAGGGAGGAGGAGGAGGAGAAGGAGGAGGGGAAGGAGGAGGAGGAGGAGGAGGAGGAGGACTGTCAATATGGCGACGTAAGCAAACACAGATCACGTGGCCAGTGACGTCATGGTACAATACATCAGCTGATTATGGAGATGTAATCCGATGTTTCCGCTATACAGAGTTGGTGTTTTATTCCACAAATTATACAGCAAATCAGACGACAAGTACAAGCATAAAATAATCACTACAGTACAAGCATGGAACAAAAACTAAAAGAACAAACTTGAAAAAAGACTAAAAATACAAACATGAAACAAAACTACAAGTATAGAACAAAAACTAAATTAAGAGCCTGTAACAAAAACTAAAAGTACAGGCATGAACGACAACTACAGGAAAACATGAAAAAAAAAACAATAAAAGTTTAAGCATGGAACAAAAACTAAAAGTACAAACGTGGAACAAAAAATAAAAAGCAAAAAAAAAATACTTGTGAAAAAATAAACTAGTGGCAGTATTTATTTTTTACAGTCCACGAGTTGTACATAACATAACCGGGAGGAACAAGACAGCAGCAGAAATGTACACTCGTGGTATGTTTTATTTTACTTCCACAAATTGTATATGGGTTGCCCTCCTATGTACACCAGCAGTTATCAAAAACAAGGCTGATAAAGACTACACGTGCTACTTAAGATTATTGTATTATTTATAAGTAGTATGTTACTTAAAATTGTTGTGTTACTTAAAATTATTGTACTGCGTAAAATTACCGTCTTTCTTTAGATTATTGTATTACTTAATTTTAATGTATTCCTTAGGAGTGCTGTTTTATTGAATATGTGTGTGTGTGTGTTCTTATTCGAGTACTATAAGAAAGTGTTGGTATGCACAGAATATAATGATAACTGCCCAATATTCTTATAATAGAAACCAACTTGGTTCATTAGAAAACAAATCCTGTACAAAATCGTCTCTCAAATATTCTCATTGTATTGATAATATTTAGTTGTTATTCGACAATTAAACCTTTTGTTAACTATTACTCATAGTTACAGTACAAAGTCAAGGTTCTACGTAATGAACTTTTTCTTGCAAAGGAACTTTTTTGGGGGTGAGTTAACCACTGTGGAGTTTGGCTGAACTGCACTAAATCATCTCTTTGCGTTTATTTATATTTGTTCAAAGTGATTTTACATAAAACTCCAGAAAATATAAGTATCCAAACCCATATAAATTTATGTACATTTTTAATATGCACATTTTACTAGACACAGAATGGAAATCAGATGATACTAACTGCAATAAATTTGATAGTATTGTGAACTAACAAATAATAATGTTATGTTGTGTTTCTATATATCCATTGAAAAGGTATAAATAAATATAGCCTCTGTATAGTTAGAAAATAGTGAATATCAAGTGATCGTCAACCACGTACCAAACTGACAGCAATAAAAACTCGTGCTCTTACCAAAGAATTCATGAATGTAATCACGAATACTTTCATATGTATTCGTATTCGGAGAGACAATATTTTTTTCTATTCGCAATCATAAAAAAATTTACGTATTCATATTAGTTTTGGAATACTGAGCTCCAGTATTCACTCCACCCCTGATGTTTGTGTGCAAAGAGAACTATTACTTTCCATCATTTTCTCGGCCTTTGAATCAACGTCGTCAAATTCTTCACGTATCGAATACGTTACTCAAACATCTTGAGTTATGCTGCACCAACATAAAATTCTTCACTTCTTAACTACCACCATCGTGACACTTGACCTCCACACCTGACCTCACTTCACATCTGACCTGACCTAGCTTACCAATTATTTTAGTCTGAAACCCAATATTAAGATTTTTTTTTTTAATTCTTGAAGTTTTCCCTGAAGGTATTCTGCGATCAATGTTCCCATTCAGCTCACGTTGTTTACGGTCACGTAACGATTGCCAATATTACTGGGTCTCTATGACTTTTTCTTCTTTAAACGACGCAATAAAATATCTTCATTTACGCAACTTTACTGAAAAAAAACTTTCTAAAGATCGAAAAAACCTAATCCAGAGAGATAGTGAAATCGATCCCCTGGTGATTTGGGAGGGGGTGATGGAGAGAAGGAAGGGAGTGTTGGAGAGGAAAGGGGGTGTTGGAGAAGGGGTACGGAGGTTGTGTGTGTTGGAGGGATGGCCCAAAAGTTTCTTGTAATTCCTCCCCGTTGTTCAAGTTTTCGTCAACATTACTGTCAGCCAAATTCCAAGCCGGGTTCAGCGCCAGGAGAGTCGATTGTGCCCAGGTTGGAGAGTAAATTAAAAAAGTTGTGTTAGCGAACTCAAGTATTGGAGAGGCGGGGAGGCAGAGGCGGCGGCGGTGGTGACTGGTGGGTGAGCCGCGGGTGGTGGCAGGCACAGGTAAGTTTGGCTCGGGTCAATGGAGCTGTTTAATTAGTGGTGGCCGCCAGACAATGGCTCACATTGTTGCTGTAATTATAACACAAATTGCGTGCCAGGAATCCCGCTGGTATTATATTATTATGTGGCAAATTATATAAATATACAATATACAAAAAAATATAAATAAATAAATAATTATATATATATATATATATATATATATATATATATATATATATATATATATATATATATATATATATATATATATATATATATATATATATATATATATATATATATATATATATATATTTCATACAAAGGAGTGCGGTTCTTACAAAGGAGTGTTAGTTACAAGACTAGCGAGGTCATCCTAAAACTGTATCTTGCTCTTGTGAGACCACACCTGGATTACGCAGTTCAGTTCTGGTCACCGTATTACAGAATGGATATAGAATCCTTGGAAAGAATTCAGAGGAGAATGACAAGACTAATCCCGGGCATTAGGAACCTTGAGTATAGAGACAGGTTAAAGCATCTTAATTTGCACTCCCTCGAGAGACGTAGAGCGAGGGGCGACCTGATAGAGGTGTACAAGTGGAAGGCAGGGCTAAACAAAGGGGACATTACAAAGGTACTCAAACTATCCAACCAGGAGCGAACTCGTAACAATGGTTTTAAATTAGACAAATTTAGATTTAGGCGGGAAATAGGTAAACACTGGTTTGGAGTGGTGGATGAATGGAACAAGTTACCAAATATCATCATTAACTCGAATACGCTGAATAGCTTCAAACATAGGTTGGATGCTTATATGAGCAATAGGGGTTGGGTGTAAACGGGACTGCCCAGTATGGGCCAATAGGCCCGCTGCAGTTTCCTCCATTCTTATGTTCTTATGTTCTTATATATATATATATATATATATATATATATATATATATATATATATATATATATATATATATATATATATATATATATATATATATATATATACGTGTATATACACAGATAGATTAAGTTGTGATACAACTTTGAAGCTTAACAACACGTAAGAGTAACTAAAGAGAACCAAACAAACAATATACGAGTATGAGGGTTCAACGCTTTAAGCTTTGTGTGTCACCTCACCTGCAACCTGGTCATAACAGCCGTCCACACTCATCATGATGACAACAGTGACACAAGGCTGACCTGTGATGACGTCAGCGAAAGGATGTTTATTAAGGTCTTGAAAACAATAATGACTACAAGAAGGATCAACAGTGACGTGAGACTCGAGGACAGTCAGTATATGGCGCTGACGAACACCCATGCGTTATTAGTTCAAGCCGTGTCCAGGTGTCCCCAAGCCTAATATGACCCACTGTGTCCACATGTCCTCCGGAGTACAGACCAAGAATCAATCCACTTGTACAAAAATATCCCCTTGGAAACCAGACCGGATGTACACGTGTCCCAGCGTCCCCGGCGCGGGAAAATGACTGTGTCCACGTGTCCAAGTGTCCACGTGTCCTATAGCGGCTGCGGATAGCCAAACACTCACTAAAGCTGACGATTAATCTGTGTCGTGGTCGCTCGTCATCAATTAGGTAAATGGGCTTATGGTGGATGTGGTCCCGGTGAGCTGGTTAGTGCCACATGTACCACCTGCCCCCTGCACCACCTGTACCACCTGTCCCCACACCACATGCCTACCACACTTCCTGCCTCCTGGGGAGTAAAATTGGTTACTCAGGACAAGGGGTAAAACAGGACCAGGGAAGGGTAGGTTTAAATGTATACTATGTAAACAGTAGGAGCGTTACAAATAAAATAGACTTGCTGAGAGCGGTTGTATGTACCGAGAATGTAGACGTCAAAGCAATCACCGAAACTTGGATGAATCTGGCGAGCAAGAACTTTTTATCTGAGTACCACATAGAAGGGTACAACCTTTTTCACAAGGACAGGGAAGGTAGGAAGGGGGGAGGGGTCGCACTCTTTGTCAGGGATACATTAAAATGTTGTATTAATAATTCAATAAAGGGTGAAATTGGAACCGAGTCTGTATGGGTAGAAATTGCGGAAGGAAGAGAACAACTAATTATTGGAGAGATTTACAGGCCCCCAAGTCTTGGAAAAGAAGCAGCTCAGCCCATATAGCAGGAAATGAGCAGGGCAGCAAAATAGAACAACCTGTGCATTATGGGGGATTTCAACTTCAGAAATATTGACTGGGACAACATTGTAGGTGACTTTGAATCTGAAGACTTCCTAGACGCAGTACAGGACAAATTTTTTGAAACAACTAATTACAGAACCTACTTAGAGGTGACAATATATTCAACCTAGTATTAACAAATAAAGAAAATATTATCAGAGATATCACAATAGGGGAAGAACTAGGGAACAGTGATCACAGAGAAATCAGGTTCACCCTAAACTGGAAACGAAAAACAATGACAATATGGTCAGAGTCCCAAACTTTCGATAGGCGGATTATCAGGGGTTAAGAAGGTACCTAGGTGAGGTCACCTGGGAGCAGTCAGGTCAGTCCCCAGTAGGAACGGGTGAGGTCACAGGTGACACAACAATTGATCATGACTATAATATATTCACCTGTATACTTCGTAAAGCACAAGAACAAAATATACCATACAGAAAAATTAGGTCAAATAAAAATGAGCGAAGGTGGATGACCAAAAAACTTAAACATGACATAGGAATAAAGAAAGGAATTTATAAGAAATTAAAGGGAGCAGCTCAGAAATAGGCATAATGAACTATCTAGGAATGTTAAGAAAAGTGTAAGGAAGGCAAAGAGGGACTACGAAATCAGGATAGCAAGAGAATCCAAGGCAAATCCCAAGGGATTTTTCCAGGTATATAGGACACAGGTCAATGAGAAAGTGGGGCCTTTAAAGTCAGAGAGAGGGGAAGGGATCGATGACAGTGAGGAAATAAGCGAAGCATTGAACAGCTACTTCTTATCAGTTATCACAGAAGAAATTCACGAGGAAATTCCAGAGATGGAACTGACATTTAGGGTAAATGAAAAGAGAAATTAAAGAATATCACTATCAGAAAAGAGGATGTTCTTAAGAGATAAATAAGTTAAAGAAGACAAAATCCCCAGGGCCGGATGAAATTTTCTCTCGAGTTTTGAAAGAGTGTAAGGAACAGATTAGTGGATCCCTCGTAAATTTATTTATAAAATCATTAGACACGGGAGTTGTGCCAGACTTGTGAAAACATGCAAATGTAGTACCCATATTCAAAAAGGGAGACAGCATCGACGTCAAATTACCGGCCGATTAGTTTGACGTCAGTAGTGGGGAAATTTCTTGAATCAATTATAGAAAATATCATCTGATCGCATTTAGAGAACAGCAAATTAATCTACGACTCTCAACATGGATTTACAAAGTGAAAATCTTGTCTCACAAATCTGCTGACGGTTTTTAGGAAAGTCTTCGAGGTAGTAGATAATGAAGAAAATTATGATGTTTTCTACTGAGACATTAGCAAAGCGTTTGACAGAGTATCGCATCAGAAGCTTCTGAGAAAAGTTAAGGCTCACGGTATCGAGGGGAAAGTTTTATATTGGATAAAATCATGGCTCACCGATAGAGCACAGAGGGTCAGCGTAGATGGTGTTAAATCTGCGTTGGGCTGTGTAACCAGTGGGGGTTCCCCAGGGGTCAGTACCGGGCCCACTCTTTTTCATAATCTACTTAAGCGATCTAGATACTGGGATCAGCAGTGACATAAGCAAGTTTGCGGATGACACCAAAATAGGGCGGCAGATAAATTCAGGGCAGGATGCAAATGAACTACAGGAGGATTTAAATAAATTGCAGGAGTGGTCAGAAAAATGGCAAATGAAATTCAACACCAGCAAGTGCAGCGTACTTAATATTGGAAGAACAAATACTGTCAGTGTATACAGCCTTAACAACATCAACCTAGAAAAGTCGACTTGTGAAAGAGACTTAGGGGTACTTGTAAGCCCGGACCTACGGCCTAGAAAACAGTGCGTTAATGGTCGAAATAAGGCAAACAGAGTATTAGGTTTTATATCTAGAAGTGTAAGTAATAAGAGTGCAGAGGTCTTATTGCAACTATATCTTGCGGTAGTCAGGCTGCACCTCGATTATGCTGTTCAGTTCTGATGCCCTTATTATAGAATGGATATCAATTCACTGGAGTCGGTGCAGCGAAGAATGATGAAAATGATTCCGAGACATAGATACCTTCCATATCAAGATAAATTAAATAAATTAAACTTGCATTCCCTAGCAAGACGAAGAGTGCGGGGAGATATGATAGAAGTATTTAAGTGGGTGAAAGGAATCAATAGAGGAGATATAGATAAAGTTCCTTTAATATCCGAGCAGGATAGAACTCGTAACAACTGATTTAAGTTGGATAAATTTAGGTTTAGGAGGGAGATAGGAAGGAACTGGTTCACAAATAGGGTGGTGGACGAGTGGAACAAGCTTAGCAACTTTGTAGTAAGTGCTGGAACGCTGGAAAGTTTTAAAAGGAGGCTAGATAGATTCATGGACAATAGAGTGTGGTAGTAACTCTCGTCAGGAGCTGCCATGCACAGGCCAACCGGCCTATTGCAGACTCTTTATTTTCTTTTGTTCTTATGTTCTTATGTACACCACCTGACTGACGCCTGACATCTTCCCAAACAGGTTCAGGAAGTGACGTTTCTTAACGACTTAGGAAAACAGGATTACATGATGATTAGGTTAGGTTAGGTTAGTTTAGCGTTAGTTTAGATGTTATTTTAGGTTAGATTAGGTTAGGTTAGGTTAGGTTAGGTTAGGTTAGGTTAGGACTGCATTAGGTTTCTTTAGGTTAGGACGGTTAGTTTAGATTAAATTAGATTAGGACTGCATTAAGCTATTATTTCATCAGGTAGAATAAGCGTGTGTGCCTAATCTTCAGGTAATCCTAAAAGCAGCTGTACAGTACACATTTTACACTTCAAAGGATACAACAGTGGGTGAGAAAATTTA